TGCTGAGATGCACCAGCCAAATTTCACCTCAACAGGATTGGCCTGCTATTATTTTATTTAATATATAGATTTATAACTTCATTAGCTTTTGCCATTTCATCTATTTCATGTATCGTTTTAAAAGAGAATTAGTTCTTGCCTATGCAGGGAGTACATCAAAGAAAACATTAGCATAGAAAGGACGGGAAGACAGAGACAGAGCACATCAGCAGTTTCCAGTCAGGCGAGGGTGTGTCACTGGACCTGTTCATTTACATCTGGGCTGGATTTCTAATTAAATGCATGTATACCTTAATTAAGGTGGTATATAATGTTTCAGCTGAATTATACTGAGATGAGCCAACTGTGGGCAGAGCCTACCTGGCTGTACCTATATATCTATTATGATTTTAGGTCAAACAAAACAGCAGTTTTAACGTCCAGAGTTACCCGGAAGGCTCACCCAGACGGAAAGGAGGCTGCGCCTCTCTTCTTTCCTGCACGTCTATGGCATGCCTTGTCATGGGCTAGATTAGGGTCAGATGTGAAAATCCACTGCCTCTATGAGATTCCTGCTCCGGAATGGCTCTCATCAATTCAGCTAATCCTTGGCTAATGTGATTTACCTGCAGCAGCTACAGAATGACAAGGCTATAACGGTGTCCCTTCCCAGCTAATACTCGACTTGGCTTGGGCACAGGACTCAGAGTCTATTTCCAAAACCACTGACGGGGGCTTGGGGGCAAGTGTGTGTGCTGCTGTTGCCACTCAGGCCACCCCTGCCAAGATGGCCTTCTGCCAAACCAGGTTATGGTGGCCTCCCTACTGCCAAGGGCAACAGTCCCTTCAAGGCACAGAGTACCTTTACAGCTTCTCCTGCCCAAATGACCATTTCTGTAGGGAAAGGCAAAGCATGAAGGGAAAGCACTCCAGCCTCAGAGGAGGAGGCTGGGAGGAGAGGGGGAGGAGGAGGGAGGATGAAGAGGGGGAGGAGGAGAAAGGGGGAAGGGAAAGGAGAGAGAGGCAAGGAGGAGGAGGAAAAGGGAGGAGGGAAGGAGAGGGGAGGGGGAGAGGAGGGAGGAAGGAAAAGGAGAGGGGGAGGGGGAGGAAGAGGGAGGGAGGGGGAGGAGGGCAGAGAAGGGAGGAGAAGGAGGAGAAGGGAGAGGAGGAGGAAGGAAGGGAGAGGAAGAGAAAGGGAGGAGGGGAGGGGGACAGAGGAGGAGAAAGGGAGGAAGAGAAGGAGAGAGAGGAGTTGGGGGAGGTAGAGGGCAAGGGGAAGAGGAGAGGGGAGGAGGAGGAAGGAAGAGAAGGGAGGAGGGGGAGGAGAAGGAAGGGGAAGAAGAGGAGGAGGAGAGGGAGGAGGGAGGAAGGGGGAAGAGAAAGGGAGAAAAAGAGGGGAGGGGGAGAAGGAGAAGCAGGATGAGAAGAGAGGAGAGGCGAGAAAAGAAGGGGAGAGGAGGAGGAAAGGAGGAGGGGGAGGGGAGGAGGGGGTGAGGAGGGAGGGGGGAGGAGGAGGAAGAGAGGAGGGAGGAGGAGGAGGAGAGAAGGGAGGGGAAGAGGCAAGAGGAGGAGGAGTGAGGGGAGGAGAGGAGGGGGAAGGAGGAAGAAGAGGGAGAGGAGAGAGGGGGAGGAGAGAAGGGAGGGGAAGGGAGGAAGAAGAGGAGGAGGAGTGGAGGGGGTGAGGAGGAGTGAGGGGAGGAGGAGTGAGGGGAAGGAGGAGGAGAAGGAGAGGAGGGAGGGAAAGGAGGGAGGAGGAAGAGAGGAGGGAGGGGCTAATGAGGAGGAGGAAGAAGAGGGGAAGAGGAGGGAGGGGAAGGAGGAAGAAGAGGAGGAAGAGGAGTGAGGGGGAGGAGAGGAGGGAGGGGAAGGGGGAGGGGGGCAAGAGGAGGAGGAGGAAGAGGAGAGGAAGATGGGAGGGAGGGGAAGCAGGGAGGAGGAGGAAGGGGGAGAGGAGGGAGGAAGGAGGGAAGGAGAGGAGGAGGAGGGGGAGGAGGAGGAGGGAAGGAGGAGGGGCAAGAGGAGGAGTGAGGGGCTGAGGATTGAAGGGGCAAGCTAGACCATGGAACCTGCAGCTGCTAGACCATGGAACCCGGTAAGCTAGACCATGGAACCTGCAGCTGCTAGACCATGGAACCCGGTAAGCTAGACCATGGAACCTGCAGCTGCTAGACCATGGAACCCAGTAAGCTAGACCATGGAACCTGCAGCCACTAGACCATGGAACCCGGTAAGCTAGACCATGGAACCTGTAGTCACTAGACCATGGAACCTGCAGTCAGACTTCACACCAGCAGGTGCAGCAGGCACACCAAGAAACTGCAGGGTCCGGGACGGGGGAGGAAACTGCCCACTACTGGATGCCACGTCTCGCAGGAGCCCTGCCCACCCAGGATGGTCTGCAGCACGTGCTGGCTCCACCTTGCAGAAGGCAGGTCTCCTCGGCAACCTCCCAGCAAGGAAACAGGCCGCCAGGGTGGTCCTGAGGCGGGTGCCTATTTGCAAGGCTAAAATGAAGCTAAATTAAGCAGCTGCAGGATATTAATTTGGCGCTTAAGTTACTGAGCTTGAATGAAAGCCTGGGAAGAGGGAGGAGGAAGATCAGCAGCTGCTAAATCTTTCTATCTGTGTCTATCAATCATCTGTCAATCAATCAATCATTTTTCTATCTAACTACCTACCCAGTCATCAGTCAGTTATCATCACCTCTCTATCCATCGACCTACCTGCCTACCAGCACCTCCTCTGCTGGGCACAGTGCTGAGCTCAGAATCTGAAGGACTTCCATGAATTATCATTCTGTGAATTACCTCGGAGCTCAGGGACTCCCTGCACCATTTTACAGATGAGGAGGCAGCTGAAACTCGAGAGGGTAAACGCCTTGGGGGAGTCGCACAGCTATTGAGTGGCGCTTACTACCTTACAGAGCTGCCTCCTCTACGGGGGGAGCCCAGTTTGCTGTGTGTCAAGATGAGTCAGGTGCTGGCTACAGGCAGATGCCAGGGCCCCACCTGCAGAAGTTCTGATTCAGCAGCTCTGCCTACGTGTCGCAGCCCTTCCAAAGAAAGAATTAAATGCAGAGGTGAAAGCAGGCAGCCGCGCTCCAAAGGTGGGAAAAAGAGGGCCTCTGGAGGCCTATGAACCCTCTCTCTTTACTCCCAAATCAATGGTGTTAGCAGCCCAAGGACAGCCATGTGATCACTTTCACAAGACCCAGGATTTGAAGCTACAAGGTAAACTCACCCGGCTACTAAAAATAGGCCAAGCACAGATGGGAAGGCCAGCTCATCCGGGAGGGGTGGTGCCCTCCTCAGAAAGGCCCTTGGCTTCTCACTATTTGCAACTTTTTACTCCAAATCCCTACTTTGCTCCCTGGATTCCTTGACTGGAAAATGTGGAGGTTTTTTCTGGGTTTCTCCGTGACGTGCCCTGTCTATTCCAGGGAGGAGAAGACACTGCTCATGGGGAAATACACAACAACAACAAAAAGACCCTGCCACTGGGTACTTCGGAGGCCAAGGGAGACCCCATCCGTGGGAGTGTTTGGAGGTCCCGGAGAAAGGGGCAATGGTGAGGTCACTCAAGGTCATGATGGGGAGAACGCCAAAGATAGTACCCAATGGAAACAGTCATACAGCCTCATGATCGTTCATACAGTCCTGTCATCATTAACATTCACACAGTTCCTAGAAAATCGAATTGGGAAGCCATGGTAGAGGTCATCTGGCCCAGACGCCCCTCCTGGGACTGTCTGTCACCCAGCCACTGTCATGCCAGGGCTGGGCACCATGGAGCATGGAGCCGAAAGAATGCAGTTAGCAGCCCCCATGGGACACAGCCAGCGTGCACTCATCAAAATGGATTAGTTCTCCAACCCCCAGCATTTCTTATTGTCTCTGTTTCGGGACTGGGGAACTTGAGGCTCTGTGTGTTCACTGAGAACACCTAGAACAGCGTTTAAAAATCACCTAAAGTGGGAACCTGGGGAAACAAGGGTTTGGCTGACTCTTTTCTTTCCCCTTGAATATTCTCTCTCTTCACCTGACTAGCAACACTAGAGGTTTTTCTTTAAAGTGTTCTTTGTGGATGTTTTAGGTTTATCATAAGGCACTTGGAGTGTGTGTGTGTGTGGAAGGGAGAGTAGAAATAAAAAGGTAACCAAGTTAGAACATCAGAGAAAGCCTGAGATAAACTTCCTAAGGCAAAATCACCCTAAAATTACCCTACGTTACCCTAAAAAGTAGGTAGTATGCAAACAACCACCTTTGTGTTATTAAAAAAAAAAAAAACACCGCTTAGTGAGGACAGATGGTTAATATTTCTTAAGAAAAACTAGAAGTGGAATTGGGATTTGAAATGTGCTATTTAAAAGCAGACTCAGAGGCTAATGTGTTAAGATTTCTCCTAGTGATTAACTGGAGAGTTGGTAAGGTGAATGGGTAATCAATCAGAAATAAGAATCCAAACGGGTCACCCCACACTGGGAGTTTTTCTTTGGAAACATACCGAGGAAGGGGCTCATTTGCTCAGAGGCTCCTCCCCTTCCAGGCTGTGGGCAGGGGCTCCCTCCCGTGCTGTGAATGGCAGCTCTCCTGTGATGTGATTGCATTTTGCTCCCTTTTTCATTCCAACTATGCAGGATTCAATATTTCAGGAGCTCCACCAGCCCCCGTTCTCGATCCAGAGGAATCTGAGATGCGTATTTCCAGCCCTATGAAACTGCTGTCTTCAACGCACACACACATACAGTACCGCACACGCACACACAATCCGCCAGATGGTATGCTATTTTTTTCCAGATGTGTGACTCAGCGGGGTCTGTGGCCTCTGCACAAGACCCAGCTCTGAACAGCGCGCTAGGATGGGTGCGGCCTTACGCTCCTCCTCTGCTGTCTCTCAAGATAGCCCTGCCCAGGAGCCCTAATCCAGCCATCACCTCGCGAACCTCAGCACCACTCCCTAAGCCTGTGCGTGCGCCGGAGGTGGGCAGTGCAGCGCCACGTCCCGCAGGGTTCTGAGCCTACCTAGTTTTTGCATGCATGCACGGAGCCTTTCTTCAAGATTGGACACTCTGCTCTGAAGTTCATCGTAGTCATAGGCGCCAATTTCCTCTTGCAGCTCGTTAAGGACTGACGTCAGATTCTGGACCTCCTCTTTAAACTGCAATACCAATTTGGCATCGGCCTTGTACTCTTCCAACACAGGTATCAAAGGCCTAAGTTCATCCATTTTCGCTTTTATCGCCTGTAAGGTTAAAATAAGCTAGTTCAGTGCGATGCATGCAAGAACTCTCGCCCCCTGCCTTGGCCTGGCTTCTCTCTAGGTGAGGGAACGTGTGTATATTCCCGCTTTATTTACAGGCTTATTTATTCTGGTCCAAATGAGTTAGAAGAGCATATTAAACAGTCCTCAGAACACCAGCATATTTGGGAAAGGTCTTTATTGTCAGTTTAGAATGCAACATCTTAAGGTTACATGCTTTGAGTCACATACACGAAGTTTTTTTTTTGTTCTTTCTTTTTCAAAAAATGCATTGACAAGGGTTCAAACTATTCATGAAATGCAGCTACAGTCGCATGCAAAGGAGGATCCTGGTTGTATTCAAGGTTCCTTAGTGAAATGGTGCTAAGTATTGGAAAATAATAGTAAAAATGCATGGTGCAAAAAGCTCTCTGGCTCTCTTTCATGGTTACATGGGAGTGGACTGCTTCTTCAGTCACTGCAGCATTGAAAAAACTCTTTTAAGTTAGCCCTGCAAGTAAGAAAACGAAATACCGTTGAAGAACTAGCTCACTAGCCTGCCTGAAACAGACAGCCATCAGGAAACACATATTTGCATGGTCGTTTAGAAAAATCCCGCTGTAATGCTCGAGTTAGTCAAAACCAACTGCTTGAAGAGTTACTGAGATCCCCTCATCACAATTTCTGCCGGAATTTCTTTTAATGCGGTGTAGCACAGTCAAGGCAAGCGCTTGCTTTTCCTCCCCCAAAGCCACAGCACCCCAAAATTGGAAACTTGGAGAGATGTCTATGTCAACCACGTTTGCCAAGCGAGCTACCTCCCAGTTGCTGAAGGCACCCCCATCGTTAGAGGAGTCTGCCGGAAGCAGAGAAGGGAGTGCTGGCTCAGAGACGGAAATGCTTTCTGGTCAGACAGGTCAACATCTCTCCTTCCACAGTAATTCATGATGACCAGCCAGATGCAAGGACAAAATGTCCACCTGCCTCTGCTGAGCGCAATCAGCTCGTTTCACCTCAACAGGATTGGGCCTGCTATTATTTTATTTATCATATAGATTTATAACTTCATTAGCTTGCCATTTCATCTATTTCATGTATCGTTTTAAAAAGAGAATTAGTTCTTGCCTCATGCAGGGAGCACATCAAAGAAAAACATTAGCATAGAAAGGACGGGAAGACAGAGACAGAGCACATCAGCAGTTTCCAGTCGGGCGAGGGTGTGTCACTGGACCTGTTCATTTACATCTGGGCTGGATTTCTAATTAAAATGCATGTATACCTTAATTAAGGTGGCATATAATGTTTCAGTCGAATTATACTGAGATGGAGTCAACTGTGGGCAGAGCTCTACCTGGCTGTACCTATATATCTATGATTTTAGGTCAAACAAACAGCAGTTTTAACGTCCAGAGTTACCCGGAGAAGCAGAACGCTTCCCACGAGACGGAAAGGAGGCTGGCGTCTCTCTCTTCTTTCCCTGCACGTCTATGGCATGCCTTGTCATGGCTAGATTAGGTCAGATGTGAAAAATCCACTGCCCTGCGAGATTCCTGCTCCGGAATGGCTCTCATCAATTCAGCTAATCCTTGGCTAATGTGATTTACCTGCAGCAGCTACAGAATGACAAGGGCCAGTAACGATGTCCCTTCCCAGCTAATACTCGACTTGGCTTGGGCAGCACAGGACTCAGAGCCCTGGCTTCCAAACCACACTGACGGGGGCTTGGGGGCAAGTGTGTGCTGCTGCTGCCACTCAGGCCACCCCTGCCAAGATGGCTTCTGCCAAACCAGGGCCAGTGGTGGCCTCCCTACTGCCAAGGGCAACAGTCCTTTCAAGGCACAGAGCAACCTTTGCTGTGCTTCTCCCTGCCCCAAATGACCATTTCTGTAGGGAAAGGCAAAGCATGAAGGGAAAGCACACCCAGCCTCAGAGGAGGAGAAGGAGGAGAGGGGGGAGGAGGAGGAGGATGAAGAGGGGGAGGAGGAGAAAGGGGGAAGGAAAGGAGGAGAGAGGAAGGAAGGAGGAGGAGGAAAAGGGAGGAGGAAGGAGAGGGGGAGGGGGATGAGGAGGAGAAAGGGGAGGAAGAAAAGGAGAGGGGGGAGGGGGAGGAAAGAGGAGGAGGGGGAGGAGGGCAGAGGAAGGGGAGGAGAAGGAGGAGAAGGGAGAGGAGGAGGAAGGGAAGGGAGAGGAAGAGAAAGGAGGAGGGGAGGGGGATGAGGAGGAGAAAAGGGAGGAAGAAGAGGAGGAGGAGGAGGAGGGGACAGAGATGGGTAGGAACATACATACCTTAAACTGCCTGGCCAGGTGTTGCTTATGACTCTCCTCCACCTGTTTGAACTTGGACTCCAGTCCTTTCATTTGGTTCTCCATCTTCTCCACGTACTGCAAGTCTCTCTGGGTCCGCCTGTCCAAGACCTCTATGGATTGAGACATGTTCTGCACCTGTCAAAAGGGCAACAAGTTCAGCGAAAGAGCCGCCGTCGGTGCCAGGCAATCTTCTCTGCCTGCTCGTGCCCACACTGCCCTTTCCCACACAGCCAGCACACTGGGAACCAGAAGTGGCCCATGCATTATTTACAAGGTAATCGCCAGCATCGGACTGATAGCTCCCCAAACACAGCAAATAGGTTGGGTAAACATTTCCTCTGCCAACGTGTTCTTAAAATCAGGGATGCAAATCAGGGGTGTGGGAGACTCAAGTTCCTTTATTGGTTGTAGCTCCAGGCACAGACTGGGTGATTTCTCTTGATCTCTCTCTCTCTCTTTTTTTTGTTTTTCAGTGGTGGTGGGTGGGGATTGTTCCTAGTCTTTATGTTGCAAGACAAAATCAGTAAGGCAAGCATAAACACCAGCAGAGAGAAATGGCACTCTGAGGCTGCCCCGCCCCCAGGTATAAATTCTTCCTCCTAAATCTCATTGAGTGCCTTGCTGATAAGGTTGATTACTTAAGTGCAGAGTGAAGGAACAAGGGAGCTGCTCTCCCTGACTCTGCATCAAGCTTTTTTCCCTATCTCCTGTGCCATCCATCACCCCCCACAGTATCATAGGTAGATGACTGCTCTGCAAACATGTACATTCTGAGCATAGAGTCAGGAATCAATCACCCAGCAAATGAAGAATCGCTGTTTTACATCTTTACGGGCAGATCTGAATTCAGTCTAGCCTCAAGATGGAACTTTAATATTCAACAGGATTCCAGGGAGCTTAAAAGAAAAACAGTTTTAGTGCAGCCACCTGCCAGTGCATTTTATTTGCAGGAAACTGGCGTGTGCTTCTGTGCAAATGCATCTGGGGCTGCAGGGAGGCGGGAGGAAGCTGAGGATTGCCGCAGTGGTGTTTGGGTCATTTTCTCAGAATCTAATCCAATTACTAGGGAGGAAGTTACCTCCATGACAGCAAATCTTCACTTCTGACTTTTGTGCTGAATTTGAAAATACTTTCCCTTCTAGGAACAAATCCATTTGGGGATGAGGCTTAGCTCTGCCTGGTCAGTGTGAAAAGAGAACAGTGTGGTTTTCACTTCTTACTATACGTCCTCCACCCCGCCAAACAAAGTCAAGTAAAATACGAGAGAGCGAGCCTAGCCTCCTCAGTAGGAGGAAAACCGCTATGGCCAATCTCAGTACCCCAAAATGCAAGGAATTTCTTATCTTGTTATTAGAAAGGAACACACACCAACTCATCTTGAAATTTTAAGTTTGTAAAGCACACGATGGGGTGGCTTTAGCTCCCCGTCACCCCTTCTGTTCCCTGGGAAATGGAAGCATACTTCTTACACCGCCCTGCCTGATTCCCTTGCTTGTCTTCCTCTGTCACTTTGAATAACTATAGCACCTTTTCCAAGAAAAGATGTAAAGTTTGGTTTTATTCATCCTTCAAGGCCCAGCCCAAATGCCACCTCCTCCAGGGAGGCTTCCCTGATGAACTGAGTTAAAACTGGCTGCAAACTATTCGGAAACAACAATGTCACTTTGTTGGCACGATGTCTGCCTAGGAGTGAGCCACACAGCTGTCCCCCCACAGCCTTCTCGACAGGATGCTCATGGAGGGAGTGACACTGGGTCTCATCCACACCTGTAACCCCTGCACAAAGTCCAGTAAATCTAGTGCACAGGGGTGGCCCCTGCAGCCACACGGCCGGAGGAAGCAACAATACAAACGGCAGCGCCAGCCCAGAACCCTCTCTCCATTCCCCTCCTGGCAAAATCCCCAGGAGCGAAGGCCCACAAGTGCTGAGGAGAAGCTGCTGAGCTGCTGCTGGCCTCAGTCAGGAGACCACACACAGTGCCGCAGGCTTTTTGCTCCCCAGAGAAGGAATGCTTTTAAAAGATTGCAAAGATTAGACTCTAGATTTAAAAAAACAAATTTTAAAGATACCAAGTTATTCAGCTACCTTAAAACCAAACAATTACCCTCCTACAGTTCTCCCAACCCTGAATGCACTTTGCTTTCTGGCCATGGACAAGGCACAGGCAAGGTTCGCCTCCAGTGGACAGTCAGTCCAGGACTGCAATCACGGACCCATCTCCCCGCCCTCCGGGAGGGCGTTCCTCTAAGCACAGCCCTTCCTTCATTTTCTTGCCTGCAGGATGTGCCTCTGAGAAGCCAACTGACAGGCTCAGGGTCACAGAGCTACAGGATGACAGTCTATCCCACACTTCACCCAACGCGGCAGCAGGCACTAAGAAGCGGGAGGGGAGGCCGGGCGCGGTGGCTCACGCCTGTAATCTCAGCACTTTGGGAGGCCGAGATGGGCGGATCATGAGGTCAGGAGATCGAGACCATCCTGGCTACCACGGTGAAACCCCATCTCTACTAAAAAAAATACAAAAAACTAGCCGGGCGAGATGGCGGGCGCCTGTAGTCCCAGCTACTCGGGAGGCTGAGGCAGGAGAATGGCATGAACCCAGGAGGCGGAGCTTGCAGTGAGCGAAGATTGCGCCACTGCACTCCAGCCTGGGCGACAGAGCGAGACTCCGTCTCAAAAAAAAAAAAAAAAAAAAAAAAAGAAGCAGGAGGTGGGGGGGCCAGCAACACACAAAGACACACCTGGCCTCAAGATAACCAACGGCTAATAATTACCCATCCTTTCCTGTGTTCCAGGCACTGCACTGAGTCTGCTGTGTCATTTATCTCATTTGATCTTTACAAAAACCCCGGGAGATGAATACTATTTTGAGTCCCATTTTACACATAGGGAGACCAAGGCTCAGAGAAGTTAAGCAACTTGCTTACTGTCGCACAGCCAGGTGGCCTGCCAGTTCAAGCTGGACTGGCTCCAAAGCCTACACTCTCAAACCCAGAGCCAAGTGCATCTTCAAAGAGAACGGAGCCCGTGCCCCACGCCTGCCACTATCCATGTCCCTACAGTGCTCGACCCCAGCTGCATGGAATTACCTGGTGAGGCTTCCAGGGCTATACATGTCTGGGCTCCCCACAGGGACCCCAGGGCAACAGAAATCAGAGACTCTGTGGGGGCGGGGGGGCTCACCAGGTGGGTTAAAGGTGAAGCCAGGCCACAGAAACACCGACAGACCTGGCTGGAATATGCTCAGCTGTGACCTAGCCCCATCCACAGGGCACATGGGCTGAGGTTTCTGGAGCATCCTGTCCTGCTTCTGCCCATGAAGAGAAGGCAAGAGAAGAAAAGAGAAAGAGGAAAGAAAGAAAATAGCACACACAGGCCAGGGTGTGCGGGGGAGCTGAGGACGGAGCAGCCCTGCCTCCTGCTAAAATGCACAGTGCATTAAGGAGCGAGGGCCCTCTTTCACAGCAAATGGCTCATGCCCTCTGAAAATAGAGTGCCCGCTATGGCATCAAATGGGGTTTTAAATTTTTAAGCAGTAATGCTGTGGCACGCACAGGCGGGAAGGAATGTTCCAGGGCCTGGAGTCCCAGGGGCTCATGGAGCATTCTGGAATCCATTTCCCAACTCTCTGCTCTCCTGGCAAGAGCCTCCTCCCTGGGCTCAGGGTTCTGTTCTCCCCTCCTGACTCTCCCCAGCCCCCACAGCCCAGAGGCCCCTCCAAGTGCCACCTCCCCACTCTAAGCTTCTGAATAATTAAAGGTTCAGTTAGGCTTTGGTCTAGTTTGGTGTTAATAAATGTTGGTGGAATCTGTTAAATGCATCTTACTTTAATTCTTTTAAAATGATTTACTCAGGCGGCTAAAGAAAAAAAAATTCTATTTCTTCAAGGTGAGCGTGCCTTACGAACTAGGCCCATTGCCCTGGGTACCATGAGGCAACCTTCCTGCCCAAGAAACAAGGGTCCTGTGGCCATTCCAGACAGGGACTGGGACACAGGAACAGGCAGTGACTCGGAGCTTTCAGGGCCCGTCAGAGCTGGGTGGGCGCTTGAAATCTCTAGCCCACCCTCTCCCTCTCCAAGAAAGGGGACGTGCTTTGTCCAGAGTTTCCTGAGGGTTTGTGGTTCAGCGGCAGGAATGTTAACTGGAGTCGGGGCAATGCTCTCCTCTCACCAGGCTGCTCCCACCTTCCCCAGCGAGGTAGGCAGTGACAGCACTGTCTGTCCCCCCAGCATGGAGCCAGCACCGAGTCACAGAGGCCCCCCACCCCTCACAGGCCTCCTGTCATACTCCTGAGCTGACGCCCATTCCAGAAAGTCCAAGGCCAATCTGCAGGAAGAATCATGGCTTTACCACTGTACGTGTGAGAGTGTGTGACTGTGTGTGTGTGTGAGTGTGTGTGACTGTGCGAGTGTGACTATGTGTGAGTGTTAGTGTGTGTGTGACTATG